CGAGATATCGATTCGGTCGAGAACAAATACACGACCCCTCGGCCAATCAAAACGTCATATGCTAATTCTCCACGAGAAATCTAACGTGAATTGTGTTGAGCGAGGAAGGTGTGAACACAAGTGGGCGGAGTCTACAGGTATGCTAGGAAAAGGGTTGATTTGAACAACACTCAATGGCGTATAATTAATACCCGAGTTTCATCTAAAGATCTAGACCAGATAATTACCACAAAACAATTATATAAACATTCCTTAAATTTTCGAAACAAAAAAAAATCTTATTAAAATTATTTTTTTTAAAATTATGACCGTTTTGTAAATAAATTGCAGCATGTTGATTCATAAATATTTCTTAAGAGAGGTTTTGTTTAACCTATAAACTTGGGCATTTTCTTTCCCTTTTCGTTCTATTTGCTCTAAATTAGATTTTAAAAATAATTTTGTTTTTGATACCATACATTTAGCACTTAAGGGAAATATAGCAGTTTGAATGAATTTATTAAAAAATTATTCATGTTTTATTTATATGCGTGAATTATTTTTATTTTATTTTATTATTATTATTATTATTATTATTTTTTTTTTTTTTTTAAGAATTTTACTTACATTGTTACTCATTATTTTATTTAAAAAAAAATAGTCATGTTACTTAACTTGGAAACAAATATGAATCTAATAATGTGCAAAAGTGAAATATTACAAGAAAATAACATCTCGCAGAATGCATGTCTGGCAATGAATTCAAATACACTAACAATTCTTTACGATACATTACTCTAATCTTTGATCAGACTACTATGTTACAAATTTCATTCATGTCTCTCTCCCAACAACAACAGGTATTTTATTTCTTACACCATTATAATTGTAAACACTAACAAATGCTACATTGTATGGCCAACGAGGCCCATTGTGAATGTTGAAAACCTGCATTAATTCCCGTATTTAAAAAGAACACTATTATGTATCTCTGTTAAATGGTTATAGGCTTGATTCTATGACAAAAGCAGCCATTTTAACCTCAACAATATATCTACTCTATTGTTGATCATTTACAAAGGGAACAAAAGTCACCCCCAGTTTACTTTTTTTTTTCTTTGAATGAAATGAAAAGGTGGAAGTGAAAAGGCGAGATTTCTACATCATTGACCTGATATATCAGGTCACAACTGTAAAATTTCACAAAACTGCACGTGCCGTGGCAAATCTAGGACGTGTTCATTTTGACTTAATTATATGCGATATTCATGTAGGATTTTCTGTTATGGTAGCCCAGGATTAACGATTTTGAGGATTTAGAAGAGCCTACATTAAAAATATTTCGGATTAGGTACATTTTAATTAGACGTGTAACAAACAAGTTGCCACACTCTACAATTCATTTTTACTTTCAAGAAAAATAAAAACACATCCTATAAGTGTCATTTTTAATAGCAAAAATATAGAAACTTGCATTTTTATGAAAATTTAAGATTTACCATCTGCTTACAGAATACCCCACCTGGTTAAACAGGCCGTATGAGTAATGCTTAACATGTTCTGGTAATCCTTAAGAATTTCAGCAAATCCCTTCCACATTTTCTGATTTAGTCTGAAAGCCTGGAAGTCCACCGCTGGCATAATTTATAACTTTTACTTATGTTAATAAACTCGAGATAAATAAAAGTTTTCAATTAATTTTGCTTTTACGGCTAACTTACATATTTCACATTTTCCTCTTCATCTTTGTTTAAAAGGTTAATTTGTGTGAATTGAAATATTTTCCTGATATTCTGTATCATGTTCTTGATTTTTAAATAAAATATATATATTTATATCTCATTCTATTTTGTATTATATTTGGAGCAACATAATGACAACTGATCATTCTCCCTTAGTTCAAAGTAAAAATGTCTCAAATAAAATGACATCGACTTTTTAATTCTAAATACTTACATAACAATTCAATTTCTAATTAGAAAAAGCAAACATTTCATAGACAAGTGACACTAATTGCTTTTAGTTTGGTGTTGTTTACGCTAGCAGATTACACAAATTTTAGCACCTAAGTACAATTACTATAAAAGAGTTTTAATTGTCTAATTAATGCCAGGTGGAACGTTACAACGATTTGAAGTCTTTACGGTAGTTACCAGTGTTTTTCACTACCGGGGTGTGAAAAGCCTATCTGATTGTCAAGAACACAAGCGGACCGCTTAAACTAACGGTCAAACGGTGTCTTTGAACTTCGTCACGGTGAGAAAATTCCCCTCAAGGGTTCCGAGTCAAATTGAGTGATTCTCACTAAACGTTTAAAGATTTGACGTTTCCGGTTGATATTCCTAAAGAAATGGAATTTTTCTTCATCTTGCCGAATTATTCTCAAGATAAGGGGTGAATTTGACATAATTAACAAAGTATAACTAGAAATCTACCAAAAGCGTTTGACTGAAAAAATATTGTTAAAGCTATGTGTAACTACTACATGAATATATTAATTCGAATTATTTTGAGAGCTCTAATAATTATAAGGTTAATACATGTATGTCTTATTTTAATTAAATTCCTCCGAAGATACCATAAAACATTAAATTAACTAAAATTAAGAAAGCATAAAAAAACGGAGTTTTAATGACATAATTTTTTCTTTATTTCTTTTATTTAGTAAACCTGAATTCCACTCATTGATTATTATTATGATTTTTTTTTTTTTTTTTTTTTTTTTTTTTTTACATTATAGTTGATCAGATATAAAAATGATTGGAATCCGATATACGGATTCCTATATATTTTAAAACCTAAATAATTCAGTACTCTCTTGTTACCATATTAAATATTTGTAACCCTAATCTGGATAACTTGCAATTTGTCGAAAACAATTTCCTGAAATTTGACTCAATACTATTTACAAAAATAATTAATGTCCAAAAGGTGAATATTTTATGAAAAATTCTCTCTCTGGGAGAAATGTCCACAAGTACTGTTTTTGTCACGTGTCACGCCGTCTTAGCAGATGACAGCTTGGTCTAGATTACATTGTAAGCTGGGAAACAGGAAAAGTAGTAGTCTCTCAATTCATGGAATTAAAGTCTCTTGTGGATATTTAAAAACAAAATAAATTTTGGCCCTAAACAGTTTTCGTAGTATGTCGTGATGCGGCTTACACGAAATCAACGAAGCGTACAGAATCGTTTTAAAGTCTACCAGAAAAAATGCAAATTCTGCTAAACCCGGACTTGGACCGAAAAAAACCAACCCCAAATCAGAATTTTATTCAACAATTCTTTTCCTCAAATGAGTACAACGCGCAGATCCAGTTTAACCATTTTAACCACCGATCAGTTTATGAATATATCATTCAACTCAAAACTCCTCATTACCGTGGATAATTGTAAAAAAATTCAGATCCTATCCTTACGGTAAAAATAGGTTCATAACATAAACCCTTGGCGTTTTTATACCAGAAATGTTTGCGTGATATAACTTACCATGTAAACTTTGTAGCAAGTCTGTCAGAACGGAACAGCTTATGACACTGCTAGGTGTGATTAAGGAAAGGTGAAAAATACAAATTTATAGAATCCACAAAAACTAAATAAAATTCCACAATTACAGGACTATAAGGCACACACTCTGACTGTGAAGCAAATAGTATAGACAGAAGACTTGAAGCCAATATAACGCCGATTTGATTCTAGTCAATAAACTTTATTCTCTATTTATAAAAAGGACTTCTCTTAGGCAGTGTAATATGTAACTTGATAAGAAAAGTTTCATTCAAATTTCGAACAATATATTTTGTACTCGCAGATAATAGCTACAAATACCATTCAGGGGCATGAATAGGCCTAACTATAGATTTTCACGGACGGACAAAGGCGAACTGGCACAACATTGGAGAACGGCTTACATTATATCAACGCAGACCGACAATCAAACAACCCTTTCCATAGCCTCATTATGGGGGCTGCATGTAGGGGAGCATTCAACTGATTGGTTCCTGCTAATTGCCGAGTACAATAGATCATCATTACAGGGGAAATTAATTTGTTACAATTTATCAGTTTTCTTGCGCAAGAGATCTGAGCTTCTGATGGAGTGGCAATCAAATACACCCAGCTTTCAGTTCAATCGATTTGTTTCGGACAAACACGGACTGGAAACCTCGGGTATATTTACGCCCCTGGCAAAGATCGTCCATTAGCAGAAATGGATACATATTTGAACAAGAATTTAAAAAATAAACAATGACTACCGATGTTTGGACAAAGGCCTTGGCATAATCCCATAAAGAATGTTTCACACAGCCCCTCTCTGGTCCTTATAGGACCACTGTTAAAATACAGACCCCGATTACGACCATTAACATGTAAGCTGCTGTCTTAGAACCTTTAATTAACACTCCAATGAATAATGGGAAAGAAACAACATACTAACTTGTCATTTTTCATATTTCTGATAGTTGAAAAAAAAAATCCAAACCGACCATTGACTATATGCAAACATGCATCAAGAAGAGGTCAAAACTGCGAGAAACACAACAAACTTTTATTTTCCTCAAAATATTGGCAAGATATATATTTCTGTGATAATATATATTAAAAAGATTCCTTTCTTTCTACTTTTGTAAACTTCAAAAATAAAATAAAAAAGAAGATACAAATGAATATAGATGGTAAGGAGAATTTGTAAAAAGACCAAGCACTAAAAAGCTAAGTTGAGGAAAGTTTTACATTACACAACTATAATTCTGTGTTTCAATGAAGATAAATCAAATTAAAAAAAAAATTAAAACTTCTCTTGCAATTAAATTTAAAAGTTCAAGGACACTTTAGTTTTGAATATGGAACAAAAATGTCAACATGATCGAAGTTTCCAAAAGCTGTTGCACTTTCAATGATGTAACATCACCAACAGATTCGTGAAGAAGAAAAGAAAGCCTTTAAATATCCCCACTTTCTTCGTAAAAACAAAAAGTGTTGGGTAGCAAACTGCCTAATGTCAACAGTAGAGTATTTGTT